GGATACAGTCAAGGGAGGTTTTCTGGAAGAGGTCAAAATTTGAGCTGTGTCTTGGAGGGAACAACCAGATCTGCCCATGAGTGGGAAGGGCATTTGGGGCAGAGAGACCTGAGTGTACAAGCGCCAGGATGGCCAGCGAGGTCATTTACAGGCCCTGGGCCAGGCAGGGTCCTATCTGCTCGCCTGCAGCTGCCCCTGTTTCCTGGGGTCAGGAGAACGTCAGGTCTCTGGCAGGATGTGGTCAAGGGCTTCGGTTCTGGTCCTAAGGCCCCTGTGAGCTAGCTCGGGAGCCACAGTCAGGCCACTTTCCCCTCAGCTCCTGCCACCATAGAATGGGAGAGTTAACATGGTGGATTAACTGGCAAGGCCACCAGCAAAGATCCAGGGTGGCCCCAGCAGCCAGGCTCCTCAATCTGCGCTCCCAACCACTGGGCAACACTTCCTCGGGCCTGCAGGCTGAAACTGTGGTTCTGGCCCCTCCCCTGGCACCATTCTAGTCCCCAGAGGCCACTGACCTGGATGGGCCTGCTGGCAGCTCCAGGCACCAGGCCGTCCTGGTCAGCAGGGACTCTGGCCAAGGGCTGATGGGGGTGGAGGGAGAGCACCAGAGATGGGTGTAACCGAGAATGGGGAGCAGCAGGCCCTGAGCAGACTCTGGCTTTGGCTTCAGGCTGGTGACTCTGACTTACCCAGAGGCTAAGAAACAAACTCAGCCATTGACATTGACTTTCAGACTCGGAGAGGACTGACGTAACCTGTGGGCAGTGTATTAAGGAAAAAGAACAAAAAGAATGAAAAGCAGAAGCCAAAGGTGAAACAGAAAACAGGAAGAGTGTGGGCTAGGATTGTGGCTCAGCGGTAGAGCACTCACCTAGCATGTGCGAGGCCCTGGGTTCGAGCCTCAGCACCACATAAAAACAGATATTTAAAACAAAGGTTTTGTGTCCAACTATAACTAAAAAGTAAAATCTATTTTTAAAAAGTAGCAAGAGTGCAATGTGCAAAGAAAGGCAAGGTGAACTTGCCTGTGATTTTAATTTCTATTTTCTTGGGCATGTACTGAATTAGAATATAAATATATTTCCTGCTTCAATAACTATTAGGGAAGGGCTGAACCAGGGACTTGGACGGAGCCCTTGGGAATAATTGCAACTATTGAATTGGTCTAAAAGATTTTTTTAAACATCTTTTTCATTTTTTTCTTTAAGAGATGGATCTTGCTGGTTGCTCAGGCTGGCCCTCATTCTTGGGCCCAAGCCATCCCCCAGTCTCAGCCCCACAAGTAGCTGGTGCTATAGATGTGCTCCATCATGCTGGGCTCCTAAAATTTTTTTATTTAAGCTAATTAATGTCTTATTTTGTGTTGAGAGCAATCCAATTCTGTAAAAAGTTAAAACAGGATAGAGTGTACACAGTTTGGAAAAGTTCCCTCCACTCCTGGCTCCCAGCTCCTAGGTCAGTTGCTCATTCCAAAGCAAGCATAGCCCCTCGGCAGCCTTCAAGAATTTTTGAATGAATGCCCAAATATCCTTTTTCTTTTCCTTTTAATACCCTAATATATCTGCTGTTTTTCAACTTGCTTTTTTAAATTTGAGATTTTTCTTGACTATTTTCCTTCAATTTTATGGAGACATAAGTCACATACCTTACCGTCCACCCATTTAAAGTGGACAATTCAGTGTTTTTTTAGTATATCCACAGCCCTTCAGCCAGCGCTACATTCAATTTGAGAACATTTTCATCAACTCAAAAGATGTGCCATCGCCATTAGAAATCAATTCCCATTCCTCCCCAGTCACCCTTATCTCTTCAACCCAGCCCAGGTAACCCCTGAGTGACTTCCTGTTTCTATGGATTTGCCTTCTCTGGACATTTCACACAAATGGAATCATGCAGTAATTGTCTTGATGTCTGTCTTCTGTCACTTTGCATAAGAGTGTTAAATTCTGTTCATTTTTCTCTCTTTTGGTGTGGGGGGGATTGAACCCAAGGGCACTTAATCACTGAGCCACATCCCCAGCACCCCCCTCCCTTTTTTTTTTTTTTGTATTGTACTTAGAGACAGGGTCTCACTGAGTTGCTTAGGGCCTTGCAAAGTTGCCGAGCCTGGCTTTGAACTCTGGATCCTCCTGCCTCAGCCTCCCAAGCCTCTGGGATTACAGGAGATCTGTCCATGTTGAGGCATTATGTGAATATAACACGTTTTTGTTTATTCATTCATCACTGAGGAACATTTGGGTTGTTTCTCCTTTTGATGATTGTGAACCACACTGTTCTGAATATTTGTGCACAGGCTTTTGTGTGGGTAGATACCTAAGAGTAGAATTGCTGGACCATATGGTAACTCTGGGTTTAAGTTTCTAAGAAATTGCCACAATGTTTTCTAAAGTAGCTGCACCAGTTGGATTCCCACCAGCCCTGTGTGTGGGTTCTGTGAGATCAGGCAATGGGCCAGGACCAAGAGAGGCAGATTTAAAAAGGCCACTGAGGGAGGCTTTATTTGAGATATCACTCCCTGGTGGAACTCCATCAGACCCACAGAGTGGACGGGAAAAGGGTCTGAGAAGAAACCTCGGGAGCTCGACTGGACTGGAATTTTATGGGGCTTACAGCAGGAAGGGAAGGGCTTGGGACAGGAAAAAGTGTTTTTAGAGTCCCTTGTCCGGCTGGAGTTGGTCTTGGGAAACTGGCTGAGATCCAGGATTGGTCAGGAGACCCTGCTGATTGACAGGCGTTTCCTTCAGCTCCTGATTGATATTTCTTTTCTGCACTGAGGCCGCTTTGTGCTAAGTCACTGCCACCGCCACCGACCTGACAGGTTCCAATTTCTCTACATCTTTGTCAACCCTTGTTATTTTCCAATTTAAAAAATATATCCATCCTGGTAGGTGTGACTTCCCCTAGCATTTCACAGAGGCTAATAATGATCCTGAGCATCTTTTCATCTATTTATTGGCCATTGTATATCTTCCTTCGAGAACTATCTTTTCAAACTCTTTGCCAATTTTTATTCAGGTTGTCTTTTTAGGGGGGTGGGGTATTGGGGATTGAACTCAGGGGTACTTGACCACTGAGCCTCATCCCCAGCCCTGTTTTGTGTTTTATTTAGAGACAGGGTCTCACTGAGTTGCTTAGTGCCTCGCTGTTGCTGAGGCTGGCTTTGAACTTGCGATCCTCCTGCCTCAACCTCCCAAGCTGCTGGGATGACAGGCGTGCGCGGCTGCTGCACCCAGCCAGTATGTCTTCACTTTCTTGATGGTGTCTTTTGAAACACAAAAGTTTTTTATTTTAAAGATGACCGATTTATCTACACTTTTATTACTGGTGCTTTTGGTGTCATATTGAAGGAGTCTGCCTAATCCAAGTTCATGAAATTGTTCTATATTAGAGTTCTATAATAGAGTTTTAGCTCTTATATTTAGTCTTTGGTCCATTTTGAGTTGACTTTTGCATGGTGTAAGGAAGGGATTCAATTGCACTCTTTTGCATGTGGATATTCAATTATCCCAGCCCATTTGTTGAAAAGATTCTTCTTTTCCCATGTAGTTATCTTAGCACCCTTGTTGAAAATCAGTCAGCAGGCCTGGTGTGATGGCACAAATCCCAGTTACTTGGGAGGCTCAGGCAGGAGGATTGCAAGTTCAAGGCCATCCTGGGCAACTTAGCAAGACCCTGTCTCAAAATAAAAATATAAAGGCTAGACATGGTGGTGCACATCTGTAATCCCAGTGGCTCGGGAGGCTGAGGCAGGAGAATCACAAGTTCAAAGCCAGACTCAGCAAAAGCGAGGCTCTAAGCAACTCAGTGAGTTTAGAGTTGTCTCTCTAAACAAAATATAAAACAGGGCTGGGGATGTGGCTCAGTGGTAGAGCTCCCAGGGTTCAATCCCCAGGACCACACACACAAAAAAAAGAAATCAATTGGCTGTAAATGAGAAGGTTCTATTCTACAATCTTGCTGTCTTGGCATTCTGTGGGTCTCGGAGCTTGTCCTTTGCAATATATGTAATAGGGCTCCATTGATGGACACATGGGACTGCTAGTCTTTTTTGCTTTACAGGGGACAATCTTAGGAGGGCTTATTCATTTCAGGGAAATGTGTTGGGTGCCTTCTGTGTACAAGGCTCTCTTTAAGGCACTGGTGGGCATTTGGACTATTAAAAGTAAACAGGATGACTTCAGCTTGGGAACATAATTGTGAACAAAATACAACAGGGTGAGTGACAGTGGGTTTTTTTTTTTTGGTGGTGGTGGTGGTGTTGGTTTTGGTGGTACTAGGGATTGAACCCAGGACCCACTTTATCACTAAGCTACATCCCCAGCTCTTTTTTTAAAAAAATGTATTTTGAGATAGACTCGTTAAATTGCTGAGACTGGCCTCAAATTTATAACCTTCCTGCCTCAACGTTCTGAGTTGCTGGGATTACAGGTGTGCACCACCATGTGCAGCAAGAGGTGACTTTTGAGCTGGGATCCTGATGATGAGAAAGAACCCTCTATGGGAAGGTTGTTCTGGGGACAGGGAACAGCAAGTAGAAAGGCCCTGGGGTGGGAATTCGTTTGACTGTTCACAGAAAGAAATCTCTGTCCCTGGAGCACAGCCAAGGCGGAGGAGAAGTGGGCCTGGGGCCAGGGAACCGCAGTCCTTAGAGCCTTAATAAGGCATTGGATCTTTTCTATGAATACAAAGAGAAGTTGCTGGAGGGCGTTAAGCAGAGGAGGGACTTGATCTAATTAATGCTCTAAAAGGATCACTCTGGGTGCTGAAGAGGTAGTTCTCATTCCCCCATTTCCAAGTGCTAGAGTTCTTAGAAGCAGAATTACTGGGCTGACAAGTTTGGACATCCATGGTGTTCCTGGATGCTGCCAGCTGCCTCCCCAAAATACACCTCTAGGTTTTGCTCCTTGCCATGGCCAGCAGCATGCATGCAGGGTGACGTGCCCAGCCCGCTCTGCTCCTGGATACCAGCACCCACCCTTGGGCTCTTGCTTCTCTTGCAGGACCTTTGCTGCTGCCTTGGTCCAGTAACTCTGGCTCTACCGTGCACTCCTTGGATAAAACGGGTACCCCTGGAAAATGGCAGATGAAGACCTCATCTTCCGCCTGGAAGGCGTTGATGGTGGCCGATCCTCCAGGGCTGGCCACGACGGGGAATCTGAAGCAGACAGCGATGACGATGAAGGCTATTTCATCTACCCCATCACCGAGGACCCCGGGTCCAACCACAATGGCAATGCTAAGGTTAATAACTACTACAGCAACCTAAAGAAAAGTCAGCAGAACGGCTCCAGTGGGTCCCCGGCCAGCTCCTTCCACTTCAAGGTGAGCAAACTACCTCTTCCACCTTCTGGAACCCAGCCTGCCTGCCCCAGGGGATGGGTCGTCGCTGAGGTCCTCGGTTGGGTTCTTCCCAGGTTCCAAGCCCTGGCTGATGTTCTCAATTCTGGATCATAGGATTTGCCTGTTGAGAGATTCTGTTGGCTTAAAACCAGCTTCATCACCTTAGAGTAGCGTTTTTAATATAGCTCTTCAGGACCCAAAACACATGTATAAAAATATTTTTGAGTCTTGCTAACCTTTTTTTTAATGGAATAAAACAGAATAAAATAGAAAATATCAGAGAGCATTATACATCGTAAAGATCTCGTTTTCTGAACACAAGCATGTACACATTCATGCACATAAACTTGGTGAATGTATCAATTGCGCATGCTCAGAATACCAAATTTTTTTTTAAAGAAATGGAGCAAAACAAAACAGAATAGAAAGCATTAGCCCTGCAAAGTGTAAATATTTTATTTCATGGTACATCTGTACATAGATCTTTTTTTTTTTTTTTTTTTGGTACCAGGGATTGCACTCTGGGGCACTTGACCACTGAGCCTCATCCCCAGCCCTATTTTGTATTTTATTTAGACACAGGGTCTCACTGAGTTGTTTAGGGCCTCACTTTTTGCTGAGGCTGGCTTTGAAGTCGCAATCCTCCTGCCTCTGCCTCCCAAACTGCTGGGATTACAGGTGTGCGCCACTGCTCCTGGCCCAGATTGTACATATTTCTTGATACGTACACCCTTATCCTCAGAGGTATGTTCCAAGACCCTCAGTGGATGTATGAAACCACAAATGGTCCTTAACCCTACATAGGCTGTTCATTCCTATATGCACATACACATGGTAAAGATTAATCTGTAAATAGGTGCAAAGAAGATTAACAACAGGAGCTGGGGTTGTGGCTCAGTGGTAGAGCGCTTGCCTAGCAAGTGTGTGGCACTGGGGTTCAATCCTCAGCACCACATAAAAGTAAATAAATAAAATAAAGGTATTGTGTCTATCTACAACTAAAAAAAATAAAAGTAACAGCAATAGCCAATAATAAAATAGAGCAAGTTTAACAATATAGTATAATCAAAGTTATGTGCATGTGGTCTCTCTCTCTCAAAATATAGTATTGTACTATGCATGAGGATAGGATGCTGTATTAGCCATCACACGTGGGGGTCTACCAGACACACCTCCTACCCCCCACCTCCCCACACACAAATGTTGGTTATTGATTAGCCTCTGATGATGTACCCATTGTTAATATTTTTAAGAATTTATTTAACCAGATGCTTTTATTGAAAACCATTGGGTAGTGCAAGATTAAGCACTGGATTACATCAATTAATTAATCCAGCATTTATGTATTAATATGTTTATTTATCTATTTGATGGGGATTGAACTCAGGGGTGCCTAACCACTGAGCCACATCCCCAACCCTCTTTATTTTTTGTTTGAGACAAGGTCTCGCTAAGTTGCTGAGGCTGGCTTTGAATTTGCCATCTTCCTGCCTCAGCCTCCAGAGTTACTGGGATTATAGGCATGCACCACCATACCTGGCTAAACTTGCACTTATTGGTTGCCTGTTTATGTATCTGTCACTAGGCTGTGTATTGAGTACAAAGAGATTAACAATTGTCTGCAGACTTTTAAGAGTCTGTCTACATTTATCTAGCACAAGTATTGAAGTTAAAAAAAAAAAAGTATAAGCCTTTAGAAATATAAGTATAAGCTACTTAGAAACATATCTTAGGAGCATGAAAAAAATTATCTTGTTTAACATTTACAGCCATCCTAAGGGGTTTTGACTGAAGAATAGAATAAATTCTTGCTAATCATTGTTTTTGAAACAACACCTAATATACATTGCACTATAGGTGCTTAATAAATGTGATTTATCTTTCTGTTCCCACATTTTAGCTTATAGCCCTACCAATGGATCACTGCCTGTGAAAATTAATGGTTTTTAAGGTCTTCCTACGGGCTGGGGGGTGCAGCTCAGAGGTAGAGCACTTGCCTAGCATGTATAGGCTCTGGGTTTCATTCCCAGCACCAGCACAAAAAAAAAAAAAAAAAAAAAAGAAAAAGAAAAAGGAAAAAAAAACCTTTCCACAAATTCTCAAATATCTTCTACATTTGTCCAAGTTTGTGTTAAATATTTTAATATCACCCCTGCATATGTGTGGGTACTGGGACATTGTGTAAGATATTCTTATGTTGATCATGGTCAAAAAAGCTGGGGCTTAGAGTTCTTCTGGATTGAGGAAGATGGTATTTATTTTATTAGGGATTTCTGTTCACATATGCAAAACCGGAATAAAGTGGGGGTGGGGGTGCAAGGCAAACATTATTGGACATTGTGTAATAATTGGCAAGGGAATTTAAAATGCAATACTGTTGGGCTGAGGATATAGCTTAGTTGGCAAAGTGCTTGCCTCGCATATACAGGCCCTGAGTTCAATCCCCAGCACCACACACACACACACACACACACACATTAAAAAAAAAAAAAGCATTACTGTTATCCTCATGTAACTTAATCTACAAACAGTATCTATTAGCACATTAAGTACCACTTCAGGATTTGCAATTTAAAGCATTCTTCTATAACTTCAGAATTAGTCTGTTTTTAGAATATTAATAATTTTAGTTCTTGCAGACACTGGGGTAAATTTTTCCTTTTAGGGCCAGAGTTCTGGCTTAAGTCACCCTAGGGCAGACAGCTCCAGAAATAGCCTGTCTCCTCTGGGGTTGGGGCCCCCTGAAGGGCAGGTTGCTGTTCATCCTGTTTCCCATTCTAAGGCAGCTTTGGAACGCCGGCCCAGTCCCTCAGGAAGGGCAGCGGGAAGGCGTGTCCAGATAGCTCAAACGCGAAATGCGCACCCAGAGGGGCCCATCCTCCTAACAGAATGATGAATTTACATTAAAAGGAAGATGTGCCTCCGTAGGATTAGACTTAAAAACAATACCTATAATGTATTTCAGGGGCCGAGGTAGTGGCCCAGCACTCCTGAGACCCTGGGCTCAATCCTAACATCATAAAAATAAAATAAAATAAAAATCTTTGAAAAGCCTTTGGCACAGTGCTGATCCATAATAGAGATGATAAAATCATAGCTATTTAAACTTTTAAAAAATTTTTATGGCTGCTGGAGATCAACCCAGGGCCTCACATATGCTAAGCATTCTCTCTACACTGAGCTATAGCCTCAGCCCCTAGCTATTTTTTAAAAATATGCTGTTAAGTACAAAGACAAGTTGAAATGTAATCTCATTTTTATTCAAAAATAGTATTCGTGTTTGTGTAGCAACAATTATTTAGAAGAGGAATTTGCATCCAACCTTTAATGGTGATTGTCTCTGGGAGACAGGGTGCCACTAAGAGGGATTTTTGATTATTTTGCGCATATATATATATATATATATATATATATATATATATATATAATATGTGTGTGTGTGTGTGTTTGCTATTGGGGATTGAACCCGGGGCCTTTTACCACTCAGCTACATCCCTAGCCCTATTTATTTTTTTATTTTGAAACAAGATCTTGCTAAATTGCTTAGGGCCTTGCTAAGTTGCTGAGGCTGGTCTTGAACTTGCAATCCTTCGGCCTCAAGATCCAGGCGTGCTCCACTGAGCCTGGCACCCTTCCTAGCTCTTCTCCACAGATTCCTCAGGGCTCTTAGCAGATCTCTGGGTGCATCTGACATTCTCTGATGTTGTTCTTTATGAGTCAGCCCCCACCTGAAGGCGAGGGGATGTATCCTGCTGTTCCCTGGACTCTGGTACAGAGGTCACTTGGTAAGAAGTTTGACCACCTGTGGACGGATGTAGCCCTCCACCGTCCACTCTTCTAGCTCATCCCGAGCAGGCTCTGTTGCCAGTGGTGACTTCAGAGGGAGACAACAGCCCAGTTTTCCAAACCTCGTTCTTCTGGCACCCGACATATCTAATGTGCTTTTTAAAAAATTCCTGTTGACATGGTAACTTGCGTTGTTTAGCTAAAATGGCCACCTGGCCTTCCTCCAAGGAGCACCACCCATCAGGTACTGGGTGTGTACTAAGAAAGGTCAGGGACTGTCTTTGTCAAGGCCCAGGTTCCCCTGGGGACGTGGCAGAATATCAATGGATTGGGCAGCTAACTGGAGGATGTTCATCATAACGTGGGAAAGTCCTCCTGCTCTGGAATTACATTTAAAAAGCACAGTATGGAGTAGGATTATAGCTCCCTAACATACACACACACACACACATACATGCCTGGGAGGAAGCTCATAACTCACCAACAGGATTGCCTCTGGAGAGGACCTTCCACTTCTGTCTTTTCCACATTTTTCTAAAATAAGCCAATGTAGCATATATGTGTTGTTTTTTTTTTTAGAGAGAGAATTTTTTTAATATTTATTTTTTAGTTTTCAACGGACACAACATCTTTGTTGGTATGTGGTGCTGAGGATCGAATCCGGGCTGCACGCATGCCAGGTGAGCGCGCTACCGCTTGAGCCACATCCCCAGCCCAACATATATATGTTTTTAATTTTCCAATCAAGTGAGAAATTCTCTTTTAAAATGTTTTGCTCTTCTGAGAACATCTTGGGGAGGTCATTCCACATCAACACAAGTAGAGCACTCCTTTTTAAAACAATTTTTGTGCACTCATACGGTGCGATGCTACATCGCGTACAACCAGAGAAATGAAAAGTTGTGCTGCAGTTGTGGACAGTGACTCAAAATGCATTCTGCTCCCATGCATACCTAACTAAAATAAACAAATTTAAAAATATCTTAGTGCACTGCATTTATATTTCATCAAATGATATGCATGGATTTATTCATTCATCTCTCCTTGAGGGGCTTTTCTTGGTGTAAGTGCTGGTTGTAGAACCCAGGGCCTGGCACCTTCTAGGTAAGTTTCTGTACCCCTGAGCTGCACCTCATGGTGCTTGAGGAATATTTTAATTGTATTTTTTAACCTTGTTATGAATAACGTAGTAACAA